AATCTGAAATTTCAACCAAAACCACCTCGAATCTTGACCAAATTGTCTCAAAATTGAGATATAAACTCTAACGGATATTCTCAATCATTTGCAACAACACCCAATCCAAACAAAAAATAATTTCATAAAATTTGATTTTCGAATTCAAACTTTGAAGCGTTTTAATGGCTGTCAATGGAGTTTTTAGTGGATTAACAAGTTTCCAATTCAATCTACTCGCTTCTAATTAATTCTATTTTGTTTATTGATTCAAAAAAACTAAAAGAATGATAACTAAAATGGTTCTCTTCATCAAAGTTAATTTCTTTCTTATTTACTTCCTCAATTTTATAGGATCTGAAACAAGAACTTTGCTAGGTACTAATGTTCTCTCTTTTTTTCACTTAACAATAGTATCATTTTTTCAATTAATCCACATGAAGATATTAATATAAGAATACTTATGGAGAGAGAGAGAGAGAGAGAGAGAGAGAGAGAGAGAGAGAGAGAGAGAGAGAGAGAGAGAGAGAGAGATGTAGAGAGAGAGCGAAGAGGGAATTCCTTACTCAATTTCTAATACAAAGAGATACACATTAATACTAATTTATATATAATTGGTAAATTGTATATCAACTTGTAATTAAGTTAAAACCTAAACAGTAAGGATAAATAAGTTTCTAATGTAGTACATATAGGTAAAAATCCCTTACTTTTACCAGCTTTAGTGTATGTGTGTTGCACATGTTTTTAAGTCTATTAATAAAAAAGTGTATATAATTTAGAATAAGAATGAATATGTGCTATAACAATTGATGTAACATTTATATAATTAAGAGTAAGAAAAGGGGTATCATCACTTTTAGCCCGCGCCAGAAATTATTTATATTCGGTAGCCGGAAAAGTATATAAAATGTATATAATTTTTGTATATAACATACATAATGTGTGTGTGTGTGTGTGTGTGTGTATATATATATATGGTTATTATTTTGAGAGCAGCTATACAGTGTCATTTTCCTTAAGGAAAATTTCTCTATTTTTTTAATCAAGATATTAAAATTATACACAGTTAAGATATTAGTTCATTGAAAATTTAGAAAATTAATTGAAATGTCCAATATATAAAATATTAATGGCAGTTATCATTATATCTAACATGGAATGTATATTTCTGTTGATATATTTACTTCTCATAATTGTATAAATATTTACCACTAATAAGTGTATTCTAATATAAATTTAAATGATTAATTATATTTAAGCAAAAAAGAAAAAGTAGACAAACCTAACATGTACTTTGTGCATATGGAGAAGTTTACCATAAATTGATATAGTGCCATTGTTCTTTTATTAATTGAAAAGATCATAAAATTTAGGAAATATTAAGGACTTCTTACCAAATTCAAATTAGTTTTGATTTAGTACAAAATATTGGCTTGATTTTAAGGTCCTAAATATTAGAAAAGCAATTTAAATTATAATTTTATCCAATGTAAAACTGATTTTTAAAGGGTAAAAAAAGGCAAACTTTCGCTAAGGGTCTTTTTGCTTTTAATATAGTATAGATAAGCAAAAAATCAGCAAACTGGGCTTCGTGCATTCTTATTATTCTGCACATTTATTAATACATCATATACTCGTAATCTGCGTGAAGGTGATGACGGACTTAACAGTAAAAAAGCTCAAAGTACTCCTTATGTTTGGGTTTTGACTCATTTTTGTTCTTATATATCATGTGGTGAACTTAGTCCTCTAAGAATGGAAAATTGATTAGTCTCTTAATTGTTACAAGGGACAAAATTTAATTTCGCTAAAAGGGAAAGTAATTTAGAACACTCTAGAAAACCTAAATTAAGCTAAGCCTTGTTGTACCTTTGCGAAGATACCAAAGTGCTAATACACCCATTACTTCTTTGTGAAGATAGTCGGATTTAATAGGTATATTCTCAAAATGTTTCAACTATGTATACTACATCAAAAGGTTGTAACTGAGCCTACATACCCTGCAGGTCAAAAAATTGCATCCATTTGTGGTAATAGATATAGTGAGCTTGCGATTTTTAAAGGACAAGAGACTAAAGACATGATTGCAAACGCAGCTGGTTTAACCCCCGAGGGGAAAAAGCAAACGAAAAGTAGGCTTGATTGAATAGGTCCATAAGGCAAAGCAAGGTGCTCTGCTTCATTTCCAAATGAGTAACTTACACACTTATACAACGTAAAAAAAATTATGCTATCAAATCATTTAAAAGATAGTAACGATAACTATCGATTATAAATAATAAAAGCAATGACCAGTGAAATAAAGCAAACAACTACAAATTGTGATTATACCGATAACGTAAAAATTGCCTACGATGTTATCAAATACAAGTCAGATCATTTTCATATTGCGTTGCAGAACACACTATAAGTTGGCGCGTTTTCACTGTTTGTGCTCTTTTTTGTTCTCGTCTTTAACTGGAATTGGACCAGGAAAAATATGTATGCTTTATCTGGTAGTGAATCGGAGTTGAAGCTATCCCAGAACTTTGAATGTAACGAAAAATAAGGTGCTCAACTGTTTGAAAAGGAGGAAGTCGCCCTGGCTTTTCGGGGGAAAATATATTTTGGGTAGGTGCTAATATATGTTAATAGTACTCCCTCCGGTTCACAATAAGTGACCAATTTGCTTTGAACACAACCATTAAAAAAATACTAAATTCTAGACGAAAATAATTAGTGTGACTAAACTACCTTTTATTAAATGTTGCACCATATTTATAGTAGCACTTACTTTTCTTCTCAAATGTTAGGAGTTAATGACTTTCTAGGGATACATACATAAGAGCAATTTTGGAAAAACAAATTGAATTTTTTTTTATTATATAAATGGACACTTATTTTGGACCAAAATAAAAAACAAATTAGTCACTTATTATGGACCAGAAAGAGTATAATATTAACGTGACAGACTACAGTTAATGTTCCAAACAGAAGTTTATGAACAACGAATTTGGAAGTGATACAAGTGATTGGCATAAATACAGCCCAAAAGGCATGTTCTGCAGGCGAACTTCGTAAACATAATACGCTGCAAGTAGAAGACTACCCTTTTTCTTTTAACATTTTATTCGGAGGTGGATTTAGAGTCGTAAAACCGGGTTCAACTGAACTAATATTTTTGACGCAAAGCATAAATTTATGTGTAAAAATTTTCTAAAACTGTGATAAATAGTAAGTTTGGATACGTAATTTAAAAATACAATAGGTCCATGGCAGAAAACCTTGATGGTTGAACCCATAAAACATAAATCTTGCATCCGTCTCTGATTTTATTCGAGTAAGTTCATCCCTAACAAGAATTTATGATACCTTGCTTTTTGCTAACACAAGCATAGTTACCTCACACTTATCATCATGAAAGAAATGCTACAAATCACGTGTATGGCATCATCAATTGGTGAATATTGAAAATGAGGAGCAAATATTGTAGTAGTAAGGCTGTTAGAATCTTGCAAGCACTCATTATTTGGGCGACAAACTATATGATTCCAGCACCCGAATTCCTAGTTTTTCCACCTTCACCTGGTAAATACAGCAAGTAGCATCAACCGGAAAACATATTGGCGAAAGCCAGAATTTCTCTACATCTTTTTGATGTCAATGCACATTGACATAAGATGATCGAGTTTGTTGTCAAGTGCAAAACAGACAACCTAAACAGCATTGCAGCCTCATTAAAATTGATAGCCAACTTTATTGAAATTTCCAAATGGTACATCATTTAGTGCTAGAACCATACAGTCAAGAAAAGAAAGCAACATCTGAGTCTGACTAATTTAATAACACTCTTCCAACATACACTCAGAGAACACAACATTATTCACTTCACGAAAGTCTCATTGTAAAATCAATTTTGTTTCAAGATGCATATTGGAAAATGACGAAAGCACATAACATTGCAAAACATCATCAGGTGCACTATTGGCAGCAGCAGCAGCATTTTGCCACAACTAGAGACCCTGGTAGAAAGGGAATTCCAGTAGTTAAGAATCATACACAATATTCCCCCTGAAGCTGAGAAAAGGAATTTCTAAGCTTATGAAGCAGCAAGCAGATAATCTGACCAAATAAAACAGAAAAATCTTAGAACTAAACAAAAGGTATTTTTCCACCTAACTGGGGATTGAGGCACAGTGCACTGTGCACATTACACTGTCCTCTCATAACAACTTACATTTGAGCGGACTTTACTTTTTCTCTAATTAGTTCAGATAAAGCTATTTCCTACTTGGAAAGCACCTCTTAGCAGACAATTAAGACCAAAAAGAATCTCTCGCTCCCCCCCCCCCCCCCCCCCCCCTCTCTCCCTCCCTCTCCCTCTCTCTCGAGATCAATTTTCCACAAATATATATTCTTATGCCACGAAATATGGGCGAAGTGCACCAGTAGCCACTTTTAAGCATACTATTTAAAATATATCCACAATTTGTTATGTATTTAAAGATTAGTCAATTCGCCCAAACTTCAAAACCAAGGATAAAACTAAGTATCCTGAATTTTTGAGCTGCTACTTTGAAATTCAGGACTTACTGTTCCTGAACAAAATTTTTAAATTGCTAATTTGGAATTCAGGACTAAGTGTCCTAAATTTCTAAATTGCTAATTTGAAATTCACGACTAAGTGTCATAAATTTTTAAACCGCTAATTTAAATTCAGGACATAAGATACGAATTTCTGGACACAATTTTCGAACTTTAGGACACGATATCTTAAGTTTGAACATTGAGGTTTAAACTTCAGGACGTCGTGTCCTGAAATTTGGTTAAATTGATTAATCTTTAAATACATTATAAACCGCGGATATTTTTTAAACATGCTTGGAAGTGGCAACCTAGTGTCATTTCCACCACGAAATATGGTGGACCATTAAGGGGTATAGACTTGCAAGCCGTGAACCCAGGGCCACACACACACCTTGTTGTATATTGTAAGTTTGTAACCGAGCTGGTATAAAGTGGCTTGGACAGTTGAACATGCAACACAACTTTTGGCCTTTCAGCCCTTTCTGTAGACTGGCTTGCAACAACACACTATTTGGTCTTTCAGCGCTTTGTGTAAACTGGCTTGAGAATAAATTTAGCGTTAGTTAAGTTCTCATCCCAACAACAAATAAAAGTCACAAAACCCATCCAAGGCCACCATCCTAAATCAACTGGAAGCCTGCAATCTTCCCAATAAGTTTCAGAAGCAGACCAGCAGCGCATTGTTTAACAGCATAGTTGCACCAATTTCCCATTTTAACCTTAAAAGCATTTGATCTGTTTTGCACTTACTCATTACCTTGCTCTACGGTCAAGTCAAAAGTTTGTGTCAGTTCAACAAACATGCACGAAGAGGGTAATAACAATGCAGAAAGGGATTAGAGAAGGCGCAACCTCCCTATGTTTTCTCTAGAAAGTTGAGAAATTCTAGTAGGTCTAAATTTTCATATATTCATTTTGAACCAACACGCTGATACATTTGAGCAGTCCTACTTCAGGGAGTTCACTAATACAGTTCTGTTGTCAGAGCATCTAAAGGTATTTTCCTTCCTGACCAATAAAAAGTGTTCTGGAATTGTGTACCACATCCTTCTTATATTACCTGGACCTGTCAGTTATCCCTTCTGACCAGCACTTACAGCCTCCCTTCAGTGAAGCGGGTAACACCCCCTTGGTGTAAAAATGCGAAGAAATATATCGCATAGCTATGTCTTTTGTAACAGTATGAAATAAGTGACCGAGCAAAATTCCCTGGATCCACGTGTTCCTAGCCAGACCTAAATCACCCCCAGGAAGCCTCCTCGAATTCATGACTATAATTAGGGCTGTCCATTATTACATTTCTATATCCTAAAGGCATGCCCACTAGAGAGGATCACAATTTATTTACATACTCGAACAAGTAGAATTTTTCTGGTGTGCAACTTCTGCAATTGTAGCATCCATAGGCTTCCTCGTAGTCCAGGCATAAAATCAACACAGAAAAATCAATAGTTCTAATCACACACTATTACAATCCATTTTCTCATAATTACCTCCATTCCCACCATTTAGCTGGCATGAGTTTAGTTGGGTTGTGCATTCCATCTTTCCTAGCACACATATAGCATCTGTTACAAAACATAAAATTTAACAAATAGATAGAAAAGCATGTTCTTTTTCTAAATTAGAGCATGCGTAATGTAATGCGTTCCAACTGAAGCAAGCTGCCTTAAGAGGTGCATTGTTTCTCCAAATTATCCAGGTCCTGTCATTGCTAGAACTTGCATCTGTGCATAATGTGTATAGATCCGACAGGAAGAGACAAGCCCTTTTTTCACCAAATCTCAAGGACTCGGTTAAGAAAGCAGATCTTTAACCGCCTTTAGCTCCTTAGTGAAGAGACCAAACTGTCAATATTCAAATTTTGACAGTTTCTTCTAAATATTAGCTCCCATCCACATACATTTTGCATTGTGATATAGTGACAACAGTCCTTTTTCTCGTTTTGGCATGAATGATATAGCGACATCAGTCCATAATTAAAAATAATGATATTAAAACATCAGTCGTAACGGCAAGTTAAATAAATAAAGGAACTCCTCTTTAAGGGGAATATGACCAACCAAAATCACAACATAATTTTAGTATTCTGCCATTTCCCACTTTAAAGCATATCCTGGCAGAGAATTCATACATAATTTCCCGAAGACATACGACTTTGACATGAATCAAAGTCTTCTAAAACTCCGTTTGATCTATAGGATATATCTTCACAACCATATATAAACCAGGCTTCTGCAACGTATTTCAAGTCTCTTACCCAGGAACTCCTCCTTTCTATCCTTTGATAACCTCCTCCCACTTCACCAAATGAAAGTTCTTCTTCTCCCTTACCTTCACATAGAAAGTACATCCTAATTTCATCCAGCTTATTCTCAACTGCAGCTGGTATTTAAAAAAGAAACATTAGAAAGGTAGGTATGCTATCAAGTATAATGTTACTAAAGGCTAGTGTGCCTCCCATATACAAATATTGTCTTTTTTGATAGAGAAAATTCTTTCCTCAAACTTCTCTATTACACCATTCCAAGAGGAGATGGATTTATCATTTATGTCTAACCCCCAGAAGCAAGCTTACAGATGCAGTAGAAGATTCACCAATTCTACAACCAAGAATTCCTTGCTGATGATTGTACGTTCTGAACTTCAATGACCAGTTATAAGAAAATTTTGATAAATTAATATGCAACACAAACACAGCCTCGGAAAACAACTTAATGAGTATGAGAATCATCAGTCAAGCGATGTGCTGTCAGCAATAAAAGAATGATTGAAAAGCTGTCTTGATCACTATCTATGCCCAAACTCTTAAATCATTGGCTTATCTCCCCCCAAAAGTAAATTCAGCATCTTGCTGAGGTCCTCGATCACCAAAAATATATAGGAAGTGTGACAAAAGTTCCCCTAGCCTCCATTCCCTTAAGCGACGGAAGAATATAATTGGGTCAATTAATAAGAATTGAGAATTTAAATGTGGTAATGCCAAAACTTATGTCTTCCAGAAGAAAATACTTACTTGGATAAAAGCTTTTTCAAAATCCAGTTTAAGGAGGAGCCAACTTTGTCATGTTCCATTCTTTCCAAGCATTTGTTGACAACTGAAACAGCATCACTGATTTGGCTCCCTTTAACAAAAGCCATCCAGGTGTCAAACACCAATTTGCTAATAACAGTCATCGGTCCGTAATTAGCGCTTTCGAATGATTTTATATATGCTTCTCTCAACTTATCGAAAACTATATGCTGCTCTCAGGGTTAGTAGGTCTGAAGTCTCTTAATTGTTCTATACCACTTTTTTTTGGTGTCAACGCAATAAAGCAAGTTGAAGCTCCTTTAAAGGCCTCAAACAGAGCACAAATGAAGTTGACTGAGCGCATAAAGCGCATCCTGTAATCATTTGTCAACATTCTTGAAAGATGGCTATGATGACACCATGAAGTAACCTTAATTAACTCCTTCACAGCCCTTAACAATTTTAGCTACCTCCTCCCCACTATTTGCAGCATATACCTTTCTTCCTCAATAAGGATATGCAGATTCTCATACTTAAAAGAGGGCCTCAGAGTCTCCAGTACAGGTTTTGGAACAATTCAATATGACCTTTTTCAATTTCTTCTAGATCCTTCCTTACTTCTGTTTTAGCTAGTCGATGTTACTACATTTTCTGTTAGCATTTGTCATCTTTTGAAAAATTGTGTTGTCGCCACCTATTTTGCTACATAGGAAAATAAAGTTCCACATGAAATTGCTTCTGCTCTAGTAACTTTCTAGGAATTCTTTGAGCAATTATTTTTTCTGTGGAAGCCCTTCATCTGCTAGGACTCTTTAAGATCTGGTTGAAACTTTTATTTTTCTACATACCGTTAAGCTTGCTCCACGCTGCAAAAGATATTCAAATTCAATTCTCTTAATCTCTTCTTCTGGAGTTTTTACCTTTTGAGCCATATGAGATTTGGTTTTCCTTTTACTTCAAAAACATGGCTCCTGCTTCTTACCATGTTTGTGAAGACATCTACTTCAACTACATGTTTCCAAAGTTAAAGTAACTGGCCTTTAATTCCCTCTGTCCACACTGCAGAAATTTTAAACAAGACGGTTTTCTCTGGTTTTGAATCAATTTTTTTTTTATGCATGATGGATTGCTTGATAATTCTAAAAGCATCGTCTCATAATCATTCAGTAGAGAACAGGAATCCATCAATTCTATATGATACCAACCCTTAACTCATTTTATGGGAGTTTTTCGTCATATAAGATAGATCTTAAATGACCTTTCTTGTATTGTTTGTGAACTTGGAAATTCTAGCGTTATTCTTCTTTCCTTTGAAAATTTGGTCAACTAAAAATTTCCCTTGTGAACCATGGGATTCCCAAAGTTCTCTCACTGCTAGAATTTCAGACACAATCTTATCATACCCCAGACTTAGAGCATACAGCCAGTGAAAACCCAGTGGAGATTTGTGATAGGTCTAGAACTGGTAATGAATGATCACCAGTAACGGAGTCTTTGCCAACCCACCACCTACAGTTAATCAAAATAGTAATGTGAAAGAGTGAAACCCATGAAGCACGATATATTTAGGGTGCAATTTAAGCTTGCACTATTCATCCCAATGGTAGAGTTTTGACTTCAAAACTACCTTAGGATAACAAGAAAAATTCCAAGTTGTCCCAACCTCACTAGCCAAATCATAGGACCTGCACACCATTAATACCTACATTTGGTTTGATGAGCCAGATATCTTAGGTAGGCTGGGGGGTCAGAGTGGGGACCTAATCGTGGATTTCAACATGAAAGGATGATGAAATAAAGGTAACCCCTGAAGGCAATGTAATATATCGAAGATTCGGGGTAACTTCTGCTATCTCTATTGGTCTACAAACTTCCATTTTTCACTGCTAAATCAAAATAGATTCCTTAAATTGGCGAAATCTCACTTCATCCTTCAATGAAGGATGTAACTAGAACCTAGGTATTTTGACCTATCAGAATACCAACCAATATCAGGTATCTGTCTCCACTCCTTAATACTCCCTCCGGTTCACAATAAGTGACCAGTCTACTTTTTCATTTTGGTTCAAAATAAGTGTCCAGTTATATAATCAAGAAAAAATTCAATTTGTTTTTACTCTTTTACCCTTATGTGCATATCCCTAAAAAATTTTCTCATTCCTCACTATAACTATGTGACTAATATTTAATAAGGGTAGTTTAATCATACTAGATATTTTTGTATAGGATTTAGCATTTTCATAATGGGCATGCTAAAAGGAAACTGGTCACTTATTGTGAACTGGAGGGAGTATTATTAATAGTCGCTCAAACAAGAAGTTCTAACTTCACGGAATATATATATGGACTAAACATCAATGCATAGTCATCCTATTGCACGTTGGAACGGCAAGAATCTTTTTTTCCCAAGAATTTTTTCAGCAAAAGTTATTTTCCTTTACAACTATCCCAATTCTTATTTCATATTACTTGCTTCAATCACTGCCTATGCATCGCTATCCATCTTTAATATTAGAAATGTCACCAAAACATTATTCTCATGCTTTATTCTACAGTTTGTAGGATTACCAATATAAATAGATGAGGATCCAGGATTTGAAGTTTTGAAGTTTATGTGTGCATGCAACGACATCAAGTTAATTTACAATAGTAACTGGATTCAGAATCAAATATTTATAAATATTTAGTGGATTCTTAATACATATACAGGGCCTGGCAGAAGCTACTGTATTCATGTGAACCCACAAATTACAAGCTCGATCCAGCCAAACACTGATTTTCCAGCAAAGTTACTTTCACGAAAAATATTTTACCTAACAGGAAAAACAGATAAAAGCCTCAAAACTGATAAATCAAATATGGATTTTTTTAGCCAAACAAAATTGAGACTGAAGAAAAGAAAAAAACGATACCTTATACCTTCATTTCTGGTAACCACCACCAATAGCATTATAATCTTCCTCAACCTTAGCAGTCAAATACGGCTTGGGGAAATCATTAACATCAAAAGTCTTCTCCTTCATCATCTTCTCCACGTCAGCTTTTTTAAGCACAGTGCGCTTTATAGGAGGACGGTTGCGCCGCTGATCACGAGAAAAGTACTTGATATCGTAAACGGTTTCGGGATTCGACGTAGGGACGATTGCTTTAGCTTGTGCGGTGGCAGGGGAGAAAATTCTGTATTCTGTAGCTAAAGGTACGGCGGATTTATATTCCGGACTTGATTGTGGTCCTGTGATCTCCCATGGTTTCTTAAGGTAGCGTTTTAGTGTTTGGATCAATGATTTGCCTGCGGAAGCCATTGTTAGAAGTTTTGGGGTGCGTTTGGAACTGTGAAAATCGCTTGGATAAGGGTAGAAATTGTTCGAATACAACGCTGGAAGTTGCGATTGTGTTGGCGAAGAGTAGGTGTGCAATTCTAGAAATTGAAGTTCTTCTAGAATGCTCTTCGCTTTTGTTTGTTTTTTTTTTTTTTTTTCTTAATTCCTTATTTTTCGAATGAATTGTTTTAATTTTGGCGGCACCGGGTATTCAGGATTGGTTCGAGTCGGTTTTATCAAAGAAGAGATTAATTAACCTAAATAGTGTTCACCTAACAACTTTTTTTTGCCTAATTAGATTTGGGGTGTGTTTAATTAGCTTAAATGTTTTGAAAAATATTTTCCTTATGAACTCATTTTCTTTCAATTGGAGAAAAAAATATTTTCCTTATCAAGAGAAGGGAAAATATTTTCTAAAACTCCTTTCTCAACCTTTCTCACCCTCAACCCACCCAAGACCCTCCCACCTAACCCTACCCCACGCCTACCCACCCACCCCCTCTCTCCGGACAAGGCTTTTTATTTTATTATTTTTAAATTTCAGTTTTTTTTCGTAACCACCTACCCTGCTTACCCCCCCCCCACCAAATTATTTGTTAATTTTTTTATTATAATTTCAAAATTCTATTTTTCTTTTTCTACATCCAACCCAATGTCCCCCCCCCCCCCCGGTCACAAAAAAAGCTTTTTTTTTTACATTTTTTTGTAATTTTAAATTTCTATTTTTAATTTTTTCGCTACCCCCCCCCCCACCCCCAGGAAAAAATATGTTTTTTATATATTTTCAGTTTTAGTTTTTTCATTCGGTTACATGTTCGAAATTTTACAAGCTCCAAAGTTATGAGTTCAGAAATTTATGTGTTAAGTTTATCGGTTTAGAAATTAAAAAGTTTACGGGTTCGAAAGTTCACGGTTTCGAAGATTTAGCGATTCGGAAGTTTATGAAATTGGTGCGTTCGGAAGGTTGTTGGTTCGAAAGTTTATGGCTTCATGTTTATTGTATCTAAATTATTTATGAATACTCTTGAGAAGTTATTTTCCTTAATTTGCATACCAAACACCGGGAAATGAATAAGATTACTATTTGTTTTCCAAGAAAATATTTTTCGTTATACCAAACACAACCTTTATCCTCTTTTATTTTCAACTAGTATCTGTGAACGTGCGTTGCACGTTAATAGTGGCACGTGATGATTTAAATATTTATTTATATGAAGAAACAATAAAATTTAATTAATGAGAGCAATTTTATGTATAATAATATAACAATCATCCTAAATGCCGAAAAATATTATTACATTAGTATAATACATGAATTTAAAATAAAATGACATTATCGAAACTTACACAAATAATCAATTGTGTCATGTTGGTTAGATAATTATGTATTATAGTTTAAAAGTATTTAATGTGATGTTATCTGAACGAACAATTCTTTGTAGACAATATTTTTTGTGTATGTTTCCTCCTAATGCTTTGGTTGCTCTGCCTTAACCAAAACTCTTGTTGTCGATCTTGATACCTCTCTTGAAGGTGCGACATACAGTTGTTCGTACAAGAAAATATATTGTGGTAAATATAGTCCAATTTTTAAGATGTTTGTCCTTGTTTATTTATTACATTTGCAAAACATGAACATACTAAAAATTATTTTCAAACGAATTTAAAAGGATATTTCTTAGTTTCGAAATATGAAAGTTGAATTCAGGGATAAGAATATACTTAGAAGCATTGTAACGACCCGACCGGTCGTTTTGAGCATTTGCACTTCGCTCAGTTGTTTGAGGGCATGAGTAGCCCCGTATGATGTATTATGACTTATGTGAATCGTCGGTTTTGATTTTCAGATTATTCGGAATTGATTTGGAAGAATGATTCTCAGCTAGAAGCTTTAAATTTGAAAGGTTTGACCAAGTTTGACTTTTTAGTATTTGACTACAGATTGGATTTCTGATGGTTCCACTAGCTCCGTTGGATGCTTTAGGACTTAGGAGCGCGTCCGGATTGTGATTTGGAGGTCCGTAGTAGAATTTGGCTTGAAATGGCGAAAGTTGAAATTTTAAAAAGTTTGATCGGGAGTGGACTTTTTGATATCGGGGTCGGCTTCCGATTCTGGAAGTTGGTTGGAGCAGGTCCTAATGTCAAATGTGACTTGTGTGCAAAATTTGAGGTCAATCGGACGTGATTTGGTAGGTTCCGGCATCGGTTGTGAAAGTTTGAAGTTTCAAGGTTCATTGATTTTGAATTGAAGTGTTATTCGTCGTTTCGATGTTGTTATGAGTGTTTTGAGGCCTATAGTAGGTTCGTGTTATGTTATGGGACTCGTTGGTATGTTTGAATGGGGTCCCGAGGGTCTCGGGCATGTTTCGGATTGATTCCGGGCTATTTTTTCCTTCATGTTTCACTGCTGCATTTTGCTGATATCTGATGTCTCAGTCCTTCATCGCGTTCGCGAGGCAAGTGTCGCGAACGGGTAGTGTATTTGGATGACAGTGGCATTTTCTTCATCGCGTTCGTGAATATTGGTCCACGTTCGCTAAGAGTTGGGTCTAGTCTCCTTCGCGTCCGCGTATGTGAGATCGCGTTCGCGTAGAGTTGAGATGGGAGTTGGGACGATGGGATCTTTCTTCATCGCGTTCGCAAGGCTTGTGCCGCGAACGCATAGAGCATTTTTGGTGGCTGTTATTGTTGTTCATCATGAACGCGATGGTTATCCCGCGTTCGCGAAAGAGGAGGCCTGGGCAGCTTTATAAAGTACTTTATTTCGAGGGTTTCGGCCATTTTTGCATTTTAGGAGCTATGGAGCTCAGATTGAGGCGATTCTTGAAGCAATTTTCACCATATGAATTGGGGTAAGTGTTCTCTACTCGGTTTTGGTTATATTCCATGAATCTATCTTCATTTTTGGCAATTGGTTGATGCATTTTAAAGAGGAAATTAGGGGTTCTGGCCTAAAGTTTCATAATATGAATTTTTGAGTTTTGATGACCGATTTGGAGGCGGATTTGAGTGAAACTAGTATGGTTGGACTCGTAATTGAATGGGTTATCGGATTTTTGTGAGTTTTGAGGTGCGGGCCCGCGTACGATTTTTGGCCTGATTTGGGATTTGATGTAGAATTTGATCTTTATCATTTGAAATTGTTTCCTTGAGCTTTATCTGATGTATTTGAGTTACTTTTGGTTAGTTTTGAGCCGTTCGGAGGTCGCTACGCGCGTATGGCATCCTTGGAGCATCGCTTGACTTGCCCGGCGTTGGAATTGGCTTGTTTTAGATAAGTAACTCTTCTAAACTTAGTGCTGAGGGTATGAAACATGCTAGGTAATGGGCGTGTGGGCGTGCACCCTGTGTATTGTGACTCCGTTGTTTTCCCTAGCACTGTTTAGTGGCCCTAGTTTGTTGATATCTGTATTTTCACCATGTGATTAATTAATTGAGCTGTCAATCATGCTAGATATCATGTTTAGGCTTTGTGCTGATATTGTTAGGACCCATAGTGGTCGTTTCTTGCTTTCACCTCACCGATTTTATTGATATTTCGTACCCAGTCATATTCACGCATTCATATCATATCTCAGTCTCAGTTGTTATTTATTGATACATCATATCATTGTTGTCGCGCTAGTTTCATGACATTGAGAGCCCGAGAGACTAATGACTGAGTGAGGCCGAGGGCCTGATTGTGAGGATACTAATGGGATCGGGTTGCACACCGCAGCATATTTTATTGATTTATGCCATGATTGGCTTGTTATAGCACTTGGGCTGAAGGAGACCCTCCGAAGTCTGCACACCCCCAGTGAGCTCAGGTACCTACAGAGTGCGAGTGCCGAGTGATTGGGAGGATTGAGTGACTGGGAGGACTGAGTGGCTGTGAGGACTGAGTGACTGTGAGGACTGAGTGGCTGGGAGGACAGAGTGAATTGATACTCTTAGAGTATGCACATGGTTTTATTGTTGTGTCGCATCGCATTTGACATACACATGACATACATGCCTAGAGATGCATTTTCCTCATGTTGTACAGTATCACGTCATTCATGACTTTTTTTACACATATTGATATGTGGTTATGGAGAGGTATTTCACACATGCTATCTGGAAAGAAAATGAAGCATCATATTTACTGTTGAAAGAATTTTTGGGGAAAAGTTACAGTTTTCAAACTTACTCATATTTTTGACGATTTCGGTAAAGGACTTGGGCTTTGATTGGTATACTTGAAAAGTGGAACTTTGTTTAGAAAACTATGGAAAAAAAGCTGAGTATTTTATCTCTGAGTTACTTCTTTATTTAATTTTCTTATGTTGTTATGCACTGATGTTGGCTATTGATGTTAGACCTGACCTTCGTTCAAGCTCGTCACTGCTTTCAGCCTAAGTTTAGGTCTGTTACTTATTGAGTACATGGGGTCGGTTATACTCATACTACACTTCCTGCACATTGCGTGCAGATTTCGGATGTTGTGTTGCTGTGTTCGGCGGAAGCTGGATTGAAAGATGTACCTGTGTCCCGGTTGTAGCTGCCTCTTGTTCATGGTAGCCTTAGATTATATAACTCTATTTATGTACTTTTCAAGTAGAAGATGTATTTATTTTCTATCAGTTTTGAAATCTCTACTCTTAGAAGCTCATGATTTGTACTACCAGTCCTTGGAAAAATGTATAAGATTTAGATAATTCCTTTGTTTAATTGTCTTGTTAACATTATTGAAATTGGATAGTTATTAGTTGGCTTATCTAATGGGTTGAGTTAGGTGCCATCACGACTAGCAGATTTTGGGTCGTGACAAGCACATTGACCAGTATCATAATTTTTGCATATATGACGTTATTGTCAAAACTTCTAAGTACCATCTGTGTGCTATTGCATAAGGTATTCGGCGTATCTAAGTTTTTCAGTAGCATGACGGGCATATTTTTCTTCAAATCAACCTATATACAATGGAAGATCAATTTTTACTTAGTCTATTATATATGCAGTGACACTAACATACGTAGAAAATAATAAACTTGACAATAAACATATATGGTAGAAGGCCATTTAGTATTAAAGTATTTAAGTATTCTCTTGGTAGTAATTATTGGTATCATTTTCTGCTGAATCAAAACAGAAAAATATTTTGTTTTTAATATAAAATTTTGC